TTGTCAAATCTTTTTAATATGTGGGCTTTAGATTAAGCATGTATCGTGGAGATTGTTGATGTCTAATTTACTGGCGACAAATCCTTAATCTGTGGGCTCTAATTAAATGTTTTTAACCGGTCGGGCTTGTTCACTCACGAAATCACTGCTCACGGGCTCTAATTTTTCTCTCTCACAGCTTGTAGCATGGCCCTAAGCTTGTAGCATGGAGCCTCTGGACCATGGATTGCCACCAGAACTCAAAATATCATCACCAACACTGACAACCCCTGAAATGTATTGAAAAATGAATCAAACATGCAGATATGAAGCATCATCAAAATGAAAGTTCAGAACACACAAGCAGACCAATTTTTTTTTCAGGAAAAATATGTTGGTTAAATTTTATTTCTGCAAGAAGATAGATAATACAACAACATAAACAAAGGTTGACCGGTCCATGCCCTGTGAAATGAGGCGGGACAGGTTAAGGGCCCAATAAGAAATGGTAGATATATAAATTCACCTCTACCTATCTCGGCAACGTATCAGGTGCAAACCAACCAACCTGTGCAAACTTGGAAACTATCAATCAGGACCACTAGATGCTGATCCAATGGATGGGGTGAGATGTGGGATTTTTTACGCTTAAGGCCCCCACCCGCCGGCTCTTTTATTTTTGCGCTTAAGCCCCCTCACCCCATCCATTGGATCAGCATCTAGTGGTCCTGATTGGTAGTTTTCAAGTTTTCACAGGTTGGTTGGTTTGCACCTGATATGTTGACATACATCTATCTCTATCTCTATCTCTAATCTTTAGTATTAAAGAGGCTAAAATTTCTTGATATATATCTATCTCTATCTCTATCTCTATCTCTAGTATTAAAGAGGCTAAGATTTCTTGATATATCTCTCTATCTCTATCTCTAATATTAAAGAGGCTAAGATTTATAATAATATCTCTATCTCTAATATTAAAGAGCTAAGATTTCTAAATATATTTCTATATCTAATCCTTAATGTTAAAGAGGCTAAAATTTCTAGATATATCTATAACATCTATCTCTAATACCTAATATTAAAGATGCTATTTTTTTTGTCTTTCATCACCCACAACTGTTCGATGAGGATTGAGGACCCAATCTCTTCCCTTCCCACAAACTAGAGTAACGTATCAAAGCAGTGTACGAAGTCTGATTCTAAAGCAAATTGTAATCATGGTTCGTGACTCTCTTCCATGCCCATACGAGTTAAGGGCTTATCCAGATACAAAGTCTAATTCCCAAACGAATTGGAACACATGCCGCATCATAGTTGCAACTCACATATATGTTTGCTAGTATAATATTAAAATGAGAAAAATATTTCTCTAAATTTTCTCCATTCACTCTCTTATCTTATCCGTCTTTTCTGGCTGGTTTTACTAAGAGTAGTGGTACGGTGATGAATTGGAGATAAGAGTGATTGGTTTAAACTTGCACGTGTATTTGTTTGTAATGGATTTGTTTTGTGAGTGGGTCTACGTGGTTTTCCAAGAACATGTTTCCATCATTTGTCGGGACAAAACAATATACTAATATGTTTCTTCTATGACCCTCACGTGCTTGAAGCTTGATCCACCCTGCCCATGTCTCATGTGCAAAGAATTGCTTAGCACTCGGTTAATTATGTCCACCAAGTGAAGATGCAAATACAATCCCACACAATCAGCATATAGTTATAGTTAGAGAATTATACTTCCCACAATGCCTATGTACACGTCATTATCCTAAACTTAAAACATGTGCTCATATATGTTAAAACAATGTGTATCTAATCATGATAGAGAGTCTGGTCTCAAAACGTAGTGGAACAGTTGACATGATCGTTGAATTGGAGGACATATAGGTGACTATGCAATACACTACTCTCTTTGTCCCAAAAATAATTGCACAACTCATTTTTTAAGAAGCCATTTTTTAAGTTTGATTTTATAGAAAATTTTAACAACAGTTGTATCCCCTAATATTTATTATAAAAATACTTTATTATGTTTAATGATACTTTTACGTTTCATAAATATCAGTATATTTTGTAGTCCCTCCGTTTCAAAGTTTACTTCATAGATGTACACTATGTCTAGGTACATAACAAAAGTAATGTATCTAAAAAAGGCAAAAAGTCTTATAATTTGAAATTGAGGGAGTATATATTTAGCTAGGATTTTAAAAAAAAGTTTGACTTTTAAAAAGAAAAAGTTATTTAAAACGAAAAGAGTACATGATCCATTGTAACGCATGGACATATTTGCTATTATATATTTTCGGAGCTTAGTTGAGGCCAAGGTGGGCCATGGCCTCCCTTGTCCAAGTTAGGGTGCATTTGGTAGAGATTTAGATTCTTCTAGAAACATTGTAGATCCATATTCTCTTTAAAACGTTTTTTCTAGTGAATCAAAATCACTTTGTGGAACTGTTTGACTAGCTCATGAATTCTTGAAACTACAACTAGAATGAAGAGAAACCATATTTTGGGTGTTTCTGTGGACTAGCATGAAAATAAGAATTAGTTCCAAGCGATACTTCCTGAAATATTTCTCTCTTCGTGACGTTTGGTAGTGATTCTACTAGGAATCGAAAACATCTCTGTCAAAAGCACCCTTAATCTCTATTGAATAAACAGTAATTTTGGTACTATTTATAAGTGTTTAGAGCTCAATCTCGATCGATTAAACAATAATTTTGATATTGTTCATGAGTGTTTAGAACTCAATTATATGGACTAACTCTCTTGTTTGTTCAGTCAAGCTCCGCCACTGCGTGTGAAAGACAGGGGCCACCGCCACCTTGTTAGACCATTGGAAACGCCGGCAGAAACTACAGCGCTTTTTATGGGCAAACGCCATCGAAAATTCTGTGACGAGCACTAGCAACGATAGCATCTGTGACAATGATCAAAGAAATTCAACGGAGCAGGCGCAAGGCTTGAGAAAGCCTGTGCACAAGGTGACAAGGGCATTGAATTGTCCAACAGCTTTGTAGACATCACTTTGCCTTACGCCTCGTTTAGATTGTAAGTATTTTTACTCTCTTTTCATCACATTAAATTTTTAGACATATGCATGGAGTATTAAATGTAGATAAAAAAATAACTAATTACACAGTTTAATTGTAAATTACGAGACAAATCTTTTAAGCCTAGTTAGACCATGATTAGATAATAATTGTCAAATACAAACAAAAGTGCTATAGTGGCAAATACTGATTTCTAACCTCAATCTAAACAAGACCTTAATCGCTAAGGAGAATTCCAAACAGAATCATCTTGTGTGGTAAAGACTCCAGCTGAGCGGTGAGCACCAACAGGCCAACAGACAGGGCAACTGAGATAAGTAACTGAAATTCCAATTCCACTGTAGATAGCTGAACAATTCTCAGTCTGACCTTACAAAAGGACAGCTAGTTCACAAGTAACTCAAATGATAAGTGTCTGTGTTTTCAGACTAGCGATGAATAAATTTATACAGCCTGTTCGTTTTGGCTGAAACGATCGTGGATTATTACTGTTGGTTGGTTTGGTGTGAGAGAAAAATGTTGTTCTAGCTTATAATCCACGATCGTTTACGACCGAATGAACAGGCTGATGTTTACACGTCTGACTCGGATAGTGTGCTCGGAGGACACAAGGGTTTATACTGGTTCGGACGGAACGTCCCTACGTCCAGTTCGCTGCTGCTCGTGTTACCGGCACTTGGTCTGCAGTAGGGATTACAAACAGGCGAGAGAGTGAAATGATCCCAAGTCTCTAGTGGAAGGAGTGAACGGGTGTTGAGAGCTCGATTGCCGCTCAGCCGTGTGCTCGTGTCGTGCTCTTGTGTTTTTGATCCTCCATCGTGGGGCGCCCTACTTCCCTTTTTATAGGCGAAGAGAAAGCACGGGTTACAGAGGAGGAAAAAGAGAAGAACGAGAGAGAAGGCTTTCAGAGTGGCCGGGTCCTTCTTCTCCTTTATGCGGGTCCTGCTGATCCTATAGATGTCAACAGGGACGGCTTCATGTTGCGGCCCTGTTTGTCACTGGCGCCATACGCAGGCGTCATCTGCCGGTCAAGGCATTCCACTCCATCCCGGTGGACGTCGTGGTGAACTAACGCGTCTGTCAGCGTCCGTACGAGGATTAGGCAGAACAGCACCGGCACGTCCGACACTGTTCTTGATGTGAATCCCCATGTATGGCCCGTCATAGCCACGAGTTACATCGAGAGGTGTGCCAACCTCTTCTCTGGCGTCAGAGTTTTGACCCAGGCCCATACGTTGACATGAAGTGGTTGGCGACGGTATGAGATCCCCATCGGACGAGACAAAAACCACGTCCTCAAGGTCGGCGAGATAAAAACCGCGTCCTTAGGGTCAGGCGAGACAAAGCCCGCACTTAAGGGGTCAGACGAGACGAGAACTCGCGTCCTTGAGGTCGAGCGAGATGAAAACCGCGTCCTTAGAGTCGGACGAGACGAAGCCCACACCCTTGGGGTCGGACGAGACGAAGCCCACACATGGGTCGGACGAGACAAAGCCCACACCCAAGGGGTTGGGAGAGACAAAAACCACATCCTTAAGGTCGGGCAAAACGGAGCCCGCGGCCTTGAGGTCAGGCGAGACAGAGCCCGCGGCCTTGCAACGATCGGGCGAGACCTTTTAATATGTCTCAAGCCATCCGAGGAAGTCAACGTGGACGCTAACTTACTTGCTTTGGGTATCCCTAATATCGATACCCGACAATAAGTTTTGTATGGGTGAGGATATTTCAAGAAAGAGACATTTAAAAGAAACCAAAACATTGGTGACGTCTGCAGACTTCATAGCATACAACTGCTATAGCACGTATCATGTATGTATGGGGGGGAAAGAAAACTGCCTCGCTGGATCATGTCAATACCAAAACGCGGTTATGTTTAGGCTAGTCAATCTTCTCGGCAATTGGAGAATGAAGACTGTCCATCCTGGCGCCTTGTCAAGCGATGGCTGGACATGATGGTGGCATGATTTTTCACTCCTGGTCACCTTGGGGGCCAACATGGGCAGGATACTTTGCAGAAACATCTGCCCAGGTGCTTTGGCCTTCTGTCAGCTGCTTCACCACGGATGCCACCTCGTTGATGTCCACACGGATCTGCTCCTTGCTGTCCCTCTCTCGGATCGTCACGTTTGTTGCCGAATCCACTGTTACAGCAAATGGAACACCAATCTCATCTGTCCTCGCGTATCTCCTCCCAATAGAAATTGCTGCAAGAGAACAAACACAAGCTTAAGCTTACATATATAGTCCATTCAGCCTACGTTATATGGGGTGGAGTATTTAAGATCGTATCGCACATACCAGTAGTGTCAATAATGTGGGAGATACCAGCAGTTGTTAATGCCTTAGCGATTACTTTGGCAGCAGCATCAAACTCTTGATTCTTAACAAGGGGAACACGGTGCACTTGATAGGGGCCACAAGAGGAGGGAACCGGAAGACATTCAGTTGTTCCTCTTCTGATTTGCTAGGCCTTGTGTAAAACGAATGCTCAAACAAGCAGTAGATGATCCGGCCTATGCCAAATGACGGCTCGATGACTGAAGGGGTGAAGACTCGCTGATGTTCCAGCTTCTTTTCCATGCTAATTGATACCATCTTCTTTGTAATCACCACATATTTTCCGAGTGTGCAGACTTTAAAATTTGTCTCCCCCTTGGTTTCTAGTTCAGCTTTCATCTCAAATGCTTCCTTCTCACTCATAGCCTGGTACATGGTGATACCAACAGAATAAAGTAGTTTACTCAGGGAAAGGAGACATCAGAAAAGCTAGCAGTCACATATAACAAGGATAATGACAAGACTTTTACCTCTAATGCTTCAAGGACCATCTTTTGGTTGCCCTTAAAAGCCAGCCCCAGGTCTTTCTTCGAGGGAACTATGACAAGTTTCTGCAATAATGAATATCAGCAAACATATAAGCACATATTAATGCCATAAATAACAAGTTCATTTTAAAGTATAAAGGGAAAATCTATATAATAGGGCACTCAGAATGTAGTGAACTTGAATCATACATTTTGTGAAATATTTAGTTGAACTTGAACCGTGTACTTCAATGGGTAAGCAAACGCTGTCATGTATTTAACATGAAAATTAAGATATAGCTACTGAAGAAAATAGAAAAGGTGGATATGATATCCCACCTCAACCTCTCTAGGCTTGGAGAATTTTTCATGAGCAACAAGTGGGACACCGCTTTTCTCCTGTGAGATAGTAAGCAGACAATCACGGTAATATTAGTAGCACATTTGCACACCAAAACAGAGGACAATGATACAAATTTCATTTACTAAGTGCAGTAACAACATGAGATGAGCAACTCAATTGCCGTAGCAACATATCCAAAGGACAAAAATATGTATCTGATAAATTATCCAGGGTGTGAAAAAGATGCAGTAAGCTTACAGTGTGAGCTTTCAAATCATATGCAGATCTATCAGCAATACCCACGCACTCTATCCACCCGTAAGAGCACTCTATTTCAGCATCCCAACAGTCAGCAGCATAATGAGCCATCTCATTAGGTAGATGCTGCCTGAAGCGCAACCGACCCTTATCAATTCCCAAGCATGTCAGGAAAAGATAGACCCTTCCGATGAAGTAACCAAGTGTCTCATTATTAACAGTTCCCTGTAAATAACAGTAGTGTAATAGTTTAAAATTATATCCAGGGTAAGAACAGCATATATAAATAAAAGAACAAAAGAAATATATCAAATTGGAAAGAGGAAAATTGCTAGCAATTGTTAACCTTTGAAACTGCTTCCCCAAGCTTCATTAGCTTGGCTGACTCCCCAGAGAGTTGCAGCTCTCTTGGAAACATCAGGAACTCCAAATCAGCAACATCAACAAATTTTGGATGTGATTTGTCTTCTGGGTCCACAAAATGCTCAATCTCTGCCAACGTGAATTCACGCACTCGGAGAAGACCTTGTCGTGGCGAGATCTGATTGTCAAGTTCTAGACATAGTGAGTACATCTTAAAAAGGGAATATCTAAGCAACTATTGAACAGCCAATAACTGCTTTTTAGAAGCATGCTATTCTACAACAAGCAACAAATGTACTGTCAACTATTAGAATGTATAAGTTATTCCAAGCATATTAACAAAAACAAAGTTAGTGTAGAACCTTTATTAATTTCAAGAACAAAGTATGAGGCAATGCTTTGTTGTTGTTGTTGTAAAGTATGAGGCAATGAACAGTCACTGAAGCAAGCCATAATTTAGTGAAATGTCATATAACACAGCAAATATTAGTAGTAGCCATTTGTAGAAATGTGAGAAAAAACACAAACCTCATTTCTAAAAGCTTGCCCAATTTGAGCAGCTGCAAAGGGGAGCTTTTGGCCATTGTAATAGTACAGGTCCTTGAAGTTTACAAAAATACCCTGTGCAGTCTCTGGTCGCATATACCTATTTCCACCACACAAAATTGGACCTTTTTAGCCAATCACCACAGAAGGAACATAATCACAGAGAGGATGGAGATATTCTTACCCCACGCTAAGGCCAGTGGGGCCAATAGATGTCTGAAACATAAGATTGAACGGGTAGGGATCAGAAAGCGGATTCTTTGTATCAGGGGCAACAATGCCGTATTCCTTAATCTTTGCACCAAGTTCCTCTGCTGAGAAGTCATCCAAAATGGCAAGAATACGCTTAAATTCATCAGCCTTCTCTTTGGGCAAGGCAAGGTCTTTCTCAAGCTTCTCCTTGCAAAAATCTTTCAACAAGTGGTCAGCACGGTAGCATGTGCCTGTCTTCTCGTCTTTAACCATGAGGTCAGTAAACTTCTCAACATGGCCTGATGCCTTCAAGACAACCTCAGGCGTCACACAGGGGCAGTCCACCTCCAACATGTTCTCTTCCAAAACGAAGTGCTGGGAGAGAAATTAAGAATCTTGGTAATCTTAGCAAAGAAGTAGAACAAAATGAATCATCAAATACAAGAAATAACTATACTGTAGACAGTTCCAATACAAACTAGTAATTCATATCTTAAACCTAGAACCAAAACTAACAACACAAAGTACACAAGGAAGGCTAAAAATTCTAATTTTTCATAGCGCATTTTCCAATTAGTAAATTGACATGAAAAGGTTATGATAAGATTACAGTCATCAATGTACAACTAAACCATGGAAAAAATTATCAACTGGACCAATGCAACACTCCTGTCCTAACAGAAAATCGTTGTCATAATCCAGATTATAGATACAAACCCCCCAGAGGGAAAACAAAATTCTATACATCCGTTAATTAACGCTTAAAACAAACCACTTTCCCGCATCTGAAGGCCACACATGTCACAATCGTTGACACGCAGCAACCACGCACATCAGCTAAGACGAAACTACAGGCAAAAAAATCTAAAGCATTCAGAGACAGATCGCGGCGTCACCTGGCGCCAGAAGGAAAGCACGTTGGCCTTGACGCGGCACCCGGGCGGCCCGTAGTCGTAGAGCCCCGCGACACCGCGGTAGATCTTGAAGGAGGGTATGTAGAACAGCTTCCGCTCCAGCGTGTTCACCACCGCCTGCCGCAGCTCCTCCCTCGCGGCGCCACCCGCGCCCGCCCCGAGCGCCTGCTGCAGCCGGCGCGCGGCGGCGCCGGCCTCGACCTTGAGCGCCTTCAGCGCCTCGACCGCGGCGTCCACGTCGGCCTTGGACGCGCCGCCGCCGGCCTTGAGCGCGCGCACGGCCTCGGCCTGCGCGTCCGCGGCGGCCTGGCGCTCCGCGAGCGAGCGCCGCAGCGCGCCCTCCGACGGTGCGGCCATGGAGGTGACAACGGCGGCTAGGGTTGCGGCGGGCTGGGTTCTGGGTTTAAGCGTGGAGCGGGAGAGTGAGGAGAAGATGAGCTGGGGGCGGAATCGCATAAAGACCATTGATGGATGCGGCCGGGCAACGAAACCGAGACGCACAAAGATCGTTGAGGAATGTGCATTTGAACCCTCGCATTTGTTGATTTAATATGAAAAGAGCTCATGGACCTATACGAATACGAAGGTTTCACAGACTTCTACTGTAGTTTATTATCTGCTCGACAGAAGGCACGTTGGTTCAAAATTTTATTTTACTTAACTATAAACATTAAAAAAATTATAGATCGACAAAGTCAAATTAGCAAAGATAGATTTGTTTAAAATTGAAATCATTTAACTTCTTAAAAGTAAGAATTACTTTCCTTTTAGGACGGATGGTGTAGTATTTATAGTATTTTAAGCCTGGACAGTATTTATAGTATTTAGTAATGCTGTAATTGGTAGCAAAACTGTGGACCACCTATGCAAACTCTACAATTTTTAGGCCTGGGGAAGATAATAGTTAAAGGTAATAAATTAGAGAGGATAAGCTGGGCTTGCGTGTGATTCGACAAAAAGATGATGAGTCAATTGACCTGGTGATTACCGCCCTGTTCGCTTGGTCGTAAACGATCGTAAATTTTCAGGTAGAACAGTATTTTTCTCTCACATCAAACCAGCCAGCAGTAATAATCCACGATCGTATACGATCATTTCACGAACAGGTTGTACAAGACTGCTCATTTGACTAAGGTCGGGTTTTGTAGTTCTTCGTTGTTAATTTCCCCTTTGCAATGAATGGAGCTTAAGATGATTCTTTCTTTTGAGGGTGTATCTGAAACATTGCCAGTATTCTGGGTCTCATCTGGACGGCGTGGATTTGGTCCCGGAGGATGGGAGCACACGTATGCGGGGCGCCGTCAGGAATAAAATGGCCGGCAAATGGTTACGAGGATCTCGTCCCATCTCTATCCAATGTGATTAGATGGCCTGTTTCTCTCGCTAATCTCTTTCTTCTCATCGGTGGATCCATGGATGACTGGATGCAACTCGGCGTCGTGTCTATCTGTAATTTCTGGACTCCCTCTGATTTCTTTTTTATGAGACGCGCACAAATTTAAAGATTCAGACATTATAATATCTGATCAACAATTATCTTTTTTATTCAGTTATATACCATTCTCAGATGGTAGAGGCCAGAACTTTGTTTTCTTATTAAAAAATAATTATTTTATGCAAAATTTTGTCCTATGAAATTTGTTAGTAAAATTGAAGGTCAAAATATACCTAAAAGACCATGCTCATGGCTTATACTGTATCTTGAAAAGAATTAGTGTGGATTATATCTTAGGAATCCTTTGGAACATTCATTCATTCATTCCCCATGGTAAACCTCGAAATATCTTGTCAGCGTTGACAATCATAGGACAAGAACAACTGATTGCAATAGGATTGAGTTAATGATTGTTCTCTTCATGGCTTTCTCTGTTTGTTTTGTTTGTCCATGTTCTTGAGAAGATATATTTCACAATATTTTGTCCATTATTAAGAATGTCAAGGTTGTAGAAATTACAAATTGATGGTCATTGGCCGCTGATTGTTTAGCAAGATGAGCTTTACATGTCATTTGAAAAAAATTAAAATATTGATTTTCAAATTATGAAAACTTAAATCTAAAAATTTTGGGCCTTAATGGATATAAATAGAAAAGTTTGTCAACTACAAAGTTGTAGATCTCTATGAATAATACAAATTTGATATAAAATTTGTCTCCATCTGACTTTATTTAGAAACATTATGACTTTTACTGTGTTGCACCTATTTTTCAAAAAGGCGGATTAAATTGTTAACCGCATTTAGAAATCGATTTTTAGTGACAGCTGGAATTCTAGAGGCGGCTAGAAAGTCTAGCTAACTGTAGAAAAAATAGCATTTTTATAGGTGGTTCAGTTACCAATTGCTTCTAAAAATAGAGAGTATTTCTATGAGACTGCTGGAAAGCCTAGCCATCATTAAAATTTGATTTTTAAAGACGAGCTGACTTAGAAAACAACGTAGAAAGCTAAAAACCTAAGACCTAAAAAAGACAGAGGTGGGGATGATCTCAATTTTTTTTTGGCTCTTGCCTCACACCGGTCTAGTCTCTTCGGTGCCAATGAATGCTTTCGCAGCTTTGTGCCGATGATAAAAAAAATCTTCCATTTCTCTCTTTTCAAATATTCAGACTCCTAGAATGGTTAGTAAGCGCACTATCTTTGTCGGCAACCTCGGCGTTCTGCCCAATGCTCACCACCAATGATCAATAGAAAATCACCCTATTCGCTTGTTGGTTTCAGCCAGCCCAAATTAACCAGCTAATAGTGTTTTCCTCTCATAACAAATCAGCATTAGCGCCCAAACCAGTCCAGAAACCAACCAGTGAACAGGCCGAATGAAGGTTGCCGCACTGAACTTAAAAATATAGATGTGAGCATAGAAAAATTAGAGTCAACTTATTAGTTCATGTGAATTTAAAAAAGGAAAATCAGAGTAATCTAACATGTTAGTGTATAAAACTATGTGACCATAGTGTAAAACTCTCGGTGTTACCCCGTTAATCATCTACTAAAACATATCATGATCATCATACTTGTGTGTTAATGCATGTGGTGAAGTGTACAGATCAATTTATGTAACTTAAAATTATCAATAAAAATGCTAAACGAAAGTTGGTTCAATGGTTCATACATATAAGTAGGGTTTAAAACTAATTTTTATTAAGCAAAAATACTATAGAATATGTGTGTGATACTTAAATAAAGTTGAAAGTGCAAACTTTATAGATGACAATAAAATACTTGCCGTTGAAAAAGAATATTGCTAAGTAATATTTTCAGTAGCTCAGAAATGTAATATGAAATTAAGATGAGCTCAAACACTTAGAAAATTTCTAAGTCTGTGGACAGCTAGACGCTTGTCAACAGAATATCGTCGGCAGTCCTCCGAGGGCTATCTCACGATAGTAGATTGATCGGTAGAGATGCGTGTAATCGAGAACAAGAAGGCAATAGAGACATAAGAGTTAGACAGGTTCGGACCGTCAGCGCGACGTAATACCCTACTCCTGTTGTCTGTTGGTTCGTATTGGCTTCCTATGATCTTGCCTATCTTTTGAGATGGTCCCTGCCCGCCTTATATGGTCTGGGAGCAGGGTTATAAGTCGGTTAGATTTAGAAGATAACCGAAAAGTAATAACAGATTACATGAAACATGGGATCGAACGTATATTAACAGATCTCGTAGTATCTTCAGGATATCGCCCTTGATGTCTTGCGGTGCACGGCGAGCAGTGCCATGCACCGTAGGTCTTCATCTTGTGAGCTGGACCGCCCCTGGGAGCGTAGCCCATGTAGTCTGCCATGGGTATTCGGGGTCGTACCCTCCACAGCTAGTCCCCGAGTGCCTTGTATCCGTTGTGCAATGCCGTCTTAAGCTTGTCTGAGCAGGTGTAAACAAAGCTGAACAGTCAGACTCATGGTCCGACCACCATAACGAGTCGTCGAGCAGTTGTGGACCGTAGCCGACCAGCTTAACTGTCCGGCCGAACACGAGCTTACCCAAGTGAGGCTTGCCAGAAGGATGTAAGGGGTTTAAGTTCAAAATCGAAAATTTCCTCGCAGTGGACCAAGTGTGCCCACTTAGAGTCCGACCACGAGAAAGGGAGATAGTCTTCTTCAACTTCAGGAGGCGCGGAGTCTTTTATATTAAAGCAAATACACTCACCGCAAGATGAAGTGTACCCACTTAGTCCCCGAGCCTGATAGTAGGTGACGCAGTCACGTGGTGCCTAGGTCCAAAGTAGAAAAAAAGCAGAAGACCGGCGAGCAGGCAGCCAGTCCCCGGGCGAAGCCCTGAAATGAGAAACGCATAGTCACCGCAAAGTGAAGTGTGCCCTCTTAGTTCCCGAGCCTGACAGTAGGTGACGTGGTCACGTGGTGCCAGGGTCAGAAACAACAAGAAAAAAAAAAAGTCCCCAGTGTGGTGAGAAACCAAGTCATAATGATGATGTAGTTCCCGAGCCACAAGTGGAAACCTCGGATAAATCAAATCGTGGAGAAAAAGGCGGAGTAATGGCTGCACAGTAGAAGTTACTGAGTCTTGATGGTATTGCGGAGAAGTCGGCGAATATTCGGTGTGTAGTTCCAAGTTGCGTCAAAAAATAGGCGATATGGGCTGCAGTTGCGCGGAAGCCCAGATAACGGCCCACCACACCGCTTCGGGGAATTCGGAAAGGCGCAAATCATGGTGTGGTTTCCCAAAAACCCTTGAATATGAAAAGTGGGTACAGTTTCTTTATAACTGCGTCGCCACACTCCGCGCTCCCACCTTTGTCACTTTGCCACTTCATCTTCCTCCTCAACCCCACTCTCCCCCATTCGTATTCACACACGCTTCCGCCTCTAGTCCCAATCCAGATATGAGGAATGGAGCCGAAGAGAGAAGTGGCAACACGAAGAGAGGCGGCCACTAGGGCAAGCCGTGACAAGGAATGGGTGCCGCGCTCATGGGGGAGACGGAGCTCAACGAGATGGTGGAGGCGGGCGTTCTTCCTAACCGTGTCACCGCCGAATGGCGTCCGACCGACGGTGAGCCCTACCCGATGTCGCATACTGACAAAGTCATAGTTTTCAAAGATTATTTCTAGCGTGGATTAGGACTTCCTATTCATCCTTTCTTGAGCGATCTATTAGAGTATTGGGGAGTAAGCTTGTGCAATCTGCATCCAAATACTATCTTGCATATTGCTATCTTTATCCACTTCTGCGTGGCGTATCTTGGCATTCTGCCCCACTTCAACCTCTTCTAACACCTGTTCTAGCTAAAGAAGAAGGGCGGGGGCGGTTCCAGAGTGGTCGACGGTGTGTATCTGCAGCTCCACGACGGGATGGCGGGCGAGTACATTACTGTGCTGCTGAACACCTCGCTAAAGGGGTGGA